TTTCCGTAAACAAAACAATCAACGGTTTCATCTCGTTTCGCAACTCTAACTTCATTTCCACGCATGAATACACCTGTCAGTTTTTGACCAATCTAAGACGTGTCATTGAAGCATAGCGTAATACCTTTCCGAAAGTAGTAGAGGGAATTTCTGCCCTTTATGCCTAAACTACAGCGTTGAATATGTTATAAATATAATACAGACAATATTGAACGATTAAGTACTAAAGTACTATTTTTGATACATAATTTCTGAATTTGAAGAAGAGAATGCGTTTGAGCCTGACATGGACCTCGCAGAGGAAGGTAACTTTCCCTCTAATTTAGCCAACAGATATGACGTATAATCACTCCACCACATTGCTTCTAGAAGGTTTGAAGTATTCGGTCTAAACGTCACTATCCACATCAGACGTGACCAGATCAGTTGAGAGATAAAAGAGTATTTTTATACTTCGTTGTGATGAAGGGTCAAAACCTATCTTAAAATACATGTATAATGTGGAGCTGTCTCACTTTTTGTAACATTTTTTTAGCTAGACAGGTATTTGCTCAAATAAAGAAAACATAGCTACTTTGTTGTACATCCCTTGAATAGAAATAGCAACTATAATCAATGTTGTGTACCTCAAGTTTCAAAACATTCTTCTACACAGACCAGCAAGAATTGTGTTTTCAGTAGTCAATTCATAATCTCTTGTAAGAACAGATTCTTATCATTGTAATGAATTTCTATTTCTGTCTCTTTTGGTATTCCATCAAGGAGAAAAAGAAGTGTTTGATACCAGACTTTAGTTCTCTGCTCTCGAACCAAGGTAAATGAAATGCTTATTACGTTTGCTTTAATCGCTGACCGAAAAGGTGCCTAAAAASAAAGCCCTCAAAATTAAAGAAGTTAGGTTTTGTTTGTTACATATATCTTAGCAAATATACGGTACTTTAAATTTGAGATGTAGGGTAAAATCTACGATGCGATATAGTGTATATGCATGTATAGTTCATGATGACTTCAACCTTCAGTACTTTGAGCCCGATCTATGTGATATAATCTGAATCAAA